GTGAAAAATATTAACCCAGTAACTTTGTTTTGGTAAGCCTTTTTCTGCAAGCGTCTAAGAAAACGAGCGCGTTTGATTTCGCTCCCTTGGTGACGTTGCAAAGAGATCTCATTACAACATTACTGCCCCTTAATCTGTAAGTTTCCACCCACGGCACCGTCATTGTGTTTTCGCAAGCTATAACGGTGTACCAGCTCTAATGCCATGGCGAAAGTTTGAGCAGTGTGTGAATAAGAACTTGGTTTAGTACTCACATGCTGTGACAGCCGCTTTCTGTCCGTATGCTTCGAATGTGTGCTCTCAGAAAACCGTATATCAGAAGTAGGGTTGGGCGATGTCTACAAAATTGGCATCGGACGATGTCTACAGTAAAACATCGCGATGGATGGACATCAGCGGGGGCAGCGGCGAGCGGGGGGAGGGTGGTGGTGGAGTTAGGGGGTGTGCCCAAAGTGTGAATCCTTATTCTAATGCCATGGCGAAAGTTTGAGCAAAACATGCTAACTGTTCTGTCTTTGTCTGCACAGACGAGCACAGAACACCATTTAGATCTACAATAAACATGCAATTTATTTCCCAGCAGTTTACCTTCGCAGACAAAACCGACTGTTTTTGTAACTCGTGTGTTTTTAACGTAAACTTGTGTGTGAATAAGAACTTCACCTGACACGAGCGGCGCGGCGCGACAAAATACTACAGAACCACTGATCTATAATAGAGATCTATTATATATAGATCAGTCTATAGAACTCATTATAATAAGTGATACTGTCTACAGTGGATGTGGCGCGGCGCAACACGACAAATCCCTGACAGTAAACTGCTGCCACGTTCTATTTATGATGTGCTGACACAAATTTCAAATAATTTTCAACGGTCGCTTTGTCGCGTCCAGTGTAGACAGACTTTAGCTAATGCAGCGCAGCGCGACACGACAACTGTCGCATCTGGTGTAGACATGCCGTAACGGTTGCCTGTTACATTACAGTACATAAAATTTCACTTACCACATAAACAGAGTAAGGAGAGATGACTGAGGACGATGGCGAATGATTTGCAGATCCTCAGTACCACTGACAAACATATAATCTTGTAAAATGTGTGGCAAGTACTGCCGCTCCATAGTATAAACAGAGTACGTGCGATCACGAATCTCGAAAGTGAAACTAAAAACGATCGTATATTCAATAGCACAATGCCAGGTGTAATAGCGGCTCCCTGATGCCGAAATATGTAGTATAATTACCCAATTATATAACTGCGAGGAAAAATATTGAAATATATATTTTCCTCCCATCTCGTATTTATTCCCTTTAGGGGTTCCGCCTGCACGTCATTTTCTTTCCGAACACAGTATTGGGATGCGGGGGGAATGGGGGGGGTCACGATGCCGGCTCAACATCGTGATGTCTATCAGCCATCGGCAATGGACGATGGCATCGTCTATCGGCCCAACCCTAATCAGAAGTTTAAACTCATATGGTTTAAACTGCATGATTTCAGCGTGATAAACATGATAATCAGAACCATAACAGATGTTTTTAGCAGGTCCGAGCTGTAATGGCGCAGCTCTATTCTGGAAAAGGGGGCGGTGAGCAGCAGCTTATTTGCATTTAAAGAGACAGGCCCGAAAAACAGCGTTTTTCTGCTTCCACTCAAAATAGGCATTTTCAAAATGATATAATCTGTTATCTGTTGAGTACTTTGAGCTGAAACTTCACAGACACATTCTGGGGACACCATAGACTTATATTACATATTACATATCATATTTCAAAAGATTTACTTAACACTGAACCTTTTTTTAACATTCTAGCAGACATTATACCAACAAAGCACGATTTAACTTAAAATGAATATTATAAATAATATTAAATAATATTTTTTGAGACTTGAATCAGGCATGTATTTTTTACTTTACAAATAAAGGCAGCCTTGCTGAGCAGAAAATAATTCTTTTAAAACATTAGAATATATTACAGATCCCAATTTGAACACTATGTGTGAATGTTATAATAAATGTATTAATAGAGCTGTTGTAGGGTAATTATTATTATCATTATTATTGTCTTTTTATTTTATTTTACAGAACAACAGTAAAATTACAAGCATTATGAATGTTGATGGAGTTGTTGCTTTTTCTCTGCTTTTGTTTTGGCAGAAACCCGCAGGAAGGTCTCAGTGCTTCTTTTTGTTGACAACAGCATGCAGATTTATGATTCTCATTACGAATTTGGGAAGATGTTTGTCGCACGTATCACACTGTCACATGCCTTTAAAAAGTTCACAAAAATGTTACTGAGCAACTGATGAGTAACACAGTTTCAGCGCAGATTTTCCTCACACTTTGGACTTTGAACCCTTGCGGCGCGAGCTCGTGCAGCGTTGTCAGAATACATGCAATTTGTGCGTGCATTAGAAAATATAACATTCTGCAGTTTATTTACTAATCGTTTGAGGCCATTTCGAGATTTCAATCATCATACAGTAGCCTAACCACCAGCATCAGCCACCTTTTCTCATCGGAGACGTGATGCAGCACTAAACAGTCTCTCGCTGTCTGTGCTTCATGCTTGTAATGATTTCTGCGTCTTTCTCTGATAGTTTTAAATACTTTCACACTGCCGACATGTTTGCTGCATTAGTGCGCGCCTCTATGTGATCGCATTAGTCGTTGTTCGGTACATATTATTCGGCCTTTTCGCTTTATTTCGGTTTGTCGAACATTCGGTGCATCCCTAATCTGAACCCTAAACACAAGCAGTACATGTTCAACAGAACTACATCACAGTATCGCTATTGTTTCAATGTGTTTCCTGCTGCACTCCCATCAACATTCAGCCAAAAACAGAAAGAACCACACCTGTAACTCATTTCGTGG